GTCCTGCTGGAAGCAATTTTAATGTGTCATCAAAGACTTTTTGAGTCCTGGCAAATGAAAGATAGTCAGTAGTCTCATAAGGGTGCTGAACTTCATAGTTTTTCCAGTTTTCCTTTAGACTTCCACCAACCAACTGCATGGGGACTTTGTTTCTCCTGTTTTGTTTTTTTATTTCATAGTATGGTGGGATACACTCTGATTTCTGTCTAAATATTGTCAATGTTTTTAATGAAATAAAGGGATTATTTTATTGACGTCTGGCCCTGCCCCTTAGAGTAATAAAGAAGAAATGGTGTATTTGCCTACGTGTCTTACTGGTAAGGACCTTCATGGAGAAGATGGACAGGTGGGATGTGATGTTATTTTGGGTTTTTATCCATTTGTACTGACCCATTGAAGTCGATTTTTCTCAAGTCAAACATTTATATGTGGCTTAGGAGGCAATTAAGTATTGCTTTGTGGGTTTTTTTGCCCTTTTTTTTTTTTAATATACGTTGCCTGTTTAAATCTTTTATCTAGGATTTTAGTCTTTCTGTTTGAAAAATCATTGTAGGCTTGATATGCCTTTAATTGGTAGCAGTATAGGCCTAAAGAGCTTTTACTTATTTTGCTACCAGTCCACTCTCCCGCTTTTGCTAATGCATTTGTTTATCGGGAGGGCTACACAGTGAACTTGGCTGGGAAGCTGATCCAGTTAAAAATAATCGTTTTTTATCTCGATATTAATAACTCAGATCAGTTCTGGCATCCAGTTGGCAGTAGTACTCTACAAATGATTGTATCAGCAAAACTGAGAGGCAGTGTTGGGGAATGTTTCTGAATCAGCAATGCTGTGAAACTATGGCTAAAACTGTTGCTTTTCATTTTTAAGTTGGAATGTCCCAACTGGATGCTGCCCTGAGGCTGCTTTGACTCTTTAGTGTCTTTTTCTACTCTGTGACGTTCCAGAAGTGCCTGCCGAACAGATTTTCATTTGCAAGAATAACTTCTTTTTATATTCTTGTGCTTATAAAACACAAATTGGGAGTTGGTAACAGGGTCTCAACTGCTTATGACAGATAAGCATGTTACTGGTGAAAAATAGCTGGACCCAAACGTGGTAGTTATACATTTCTACAGTCAGTCTAAGATGGCTATTTGTAAGTCTGAATGTGAGTATGGCCTCTTGTTACACAGGACAGGTGCATTTTTGTGACTCGTGTTTATAATTATAGATAAAGTGTAACTGATTGTCTAGTCTGATGTCTTTCTGACAGAAGCACTGGCTGCATGCTTGAAGGTGGAGAAAAAGGCTTTGTTGAGAACTTGGCCTGAAATGGCTAGAGAACAGAGCACATGAAATGTTTGAGATCTGTTTCCATCTGCTGCTTCAAAGACACTATAAACCAGTTATTTGGGTTAATACAGAAGGTCTGTGAGATCGGTGGAGTTTTCCTCATTGGTTAATTTGGGTTTTTTTCTTGATTGCTTAAAACAAACAAGACCAGAAAGTCTTCAACATGCTTATTCATCTCAGTTACATTAAAAAGTACATACAGATATATTTTTGCCTTCTGAGTTACCTGTCAATAAAACACTGTGGCTTATGCATTCTGTAAAATACAATTGAAATGTTGCCCAGCATTAAGTGTTGTGTTTAAGTAGCAGAATACACAATATAAACTTGACAATCTTCTTAAATTGCAGAAGTGCATAAAATGGAAAGAGGTATTTGAGCCATCTAGTGGTTGGTATGAAACATTTTAACATTTCTTTGGTAGTTTGTAGAAAATGTAAATGACACCAGCTTGGCAATAGCATTTCTAATTTGTCTGCTTTTTAGTAGCATGGCTGTAGAATGAAAAAACCCAGACATTGAACTTCAAATTTGATGTACAGTCTGCTTCAGTTTGCAGCTTTTTTTCAATTTACTGTAGATTTTAGTGGAGAGGTCTGAGAACATCAAAATTACAGTAGAGGTTAGTAGCCAAAAAATGAGTTTTGTAAGCATGAGATCTTCAGAAATTGTGAGAATTGTTAAGGAGGAGGAAAGGATTGTAATAAGATAATTTTGTTTTCTACTTCTTGCTGAAAAATGGAGGGAAAAAAGTGGGCTTGTATTCTACCTCACCAGCTACTTACAGCAGGATCATGAACAGCAGGGATTAAATTACAAAAGTAATCTTTACTGGAAAACATGGCATGGATGTTTTTTGTGATAAACTTGTCCAAATAAAAAGTAACAGAGGCAACTGGAAACAGATTTCTTAAGATGGGGTGTGTTCCTGGTAAACAGAGTCGCCGACTGTAGTGCTGTTAAGAAAAAGGACATTTTGTAGATGAAAATTTTGTGTAATGGTCCCGCTTGGTCCTGATATGTGTTAAGCTGCTTTAGCCTTTCATGTTGGCTGTTGCCAGTAGGAGCTTGGCTGCACATGGGACTTGATGGTGTTCTGCAATACAGGCAGAAAAGTTAGTCGCTAACGTAATGAACTTCCTGTGCATCTCGCCTTGAATTATTTGCGGGAAAACACCGCATACACTGAAACGCTGTAATATCTTCCAGTCCCTGTGAAAGTCCCGTCCAGGTTCAAACGCAGGTTAAAAGATATTTTCTAATCTTTATTAAAACAAATTTAATAAACAATCAACAGGTAGTACTAATGTTACGTATGGCTAGAGCTATAGTATTTCAGAACATATAAATGTGATCCATACTGACATTGCAGAATTTGCACCTTTACCTTTGAAGTGTTACAGAGTCTTAAATCTTGCCCTGTTTTTTACTGAGAAGGCAGTGGCATCTTAATAGATTTTTAAGGTCAATCTCGAATGCTTTGTAAGGCCAAATGAGAATGAGAGAAAAATGGGAAAATCAGTCACAGAAGAAAGGATAGAGCAGTAATGGTTGATTTGTATTTTAGCTGCGACAACCTGAAAGCTGCACATGAATTTGATACATTAATTGCATCTGGACAAATCACCTGCATCTTGGTCCTGTTGTGTTTTGAAAGTTGATTATTATTAACCCTTAGGATCAAAGTATCAGCTAGATTATTCTCTGAATCTGTAACTCATTTGGACTGTGAATTCTAGTAAGTTCCAGAAGAGGAAATTAAAATCTTTGAGGATTGAAGAGGTTTTAGTTGTCTGGCATATTTTTGCTTGAATGTTGTAGTGTGGTGATGGAGGATTTTTGTTACTACTGTTACTCTCAGTCTTTACAGTGATCTAATCTTGATTGCAGTTGGTGGATCTCTGAGGTAACACTGGACACTTTTGTTAAGTTCTGTTCTACCAGTGAGCCTGACTCGAACACAAAATAAGGTTACTAGGTGTGCAGTGTATTTTGCAGGCTTCCATGTTGCACACATCAAAATCTCTCTATCTTATTTCTTCATTTAAAATTACTTTTAAATCAAGGCATTACATATGCTCAGTTTTTGAGCTTGCCTTCTTTCCTAGTCTGTTGTTGCCAGAGCACGCTTGGAAAGGAGGAAATACATGGTGTATGGAATTAGACATCTTTTATCTTTATGATGTCCATGTTGTGTTTTTGTTCAATTAAACAGTCATGTGGTTTTATGGTAGTATTAAAGTGTCATCTTTTATTGTTTATGTACTTCCCCTTCACTCCCCCTGTTAACATCTTCCAGTGCTCTGATTGCCCTAGTATCTGGTCATACCACAGCATTTTCTTGGAAGCTGTCCATTGCTGAAGCTATGATCCAGCTGTATTCATGAAAGGATCTTTGGTGTTTCCCCTGATTTTAATTTGCATTGAGAAGATGCAAATGAGGTATAATGAAATGCTAATACTGGGTCCTGTTTCTGATGGATGCTGCTCTTTGAATTGTGTTCTGGTTACCAGTTATTTTCTAGGAGAAATTTGGCTATACTTTTATATTTGGATTTAGTTTAAGACATAACTAGGATTCCTTTCGTGGAATTTCATAGAAATTTGACTTGCTGAAGAAGCGCGTGCAAGTGGAAGAGGGATTATCTTGAGCTATAGTTTTTGACGACGGAAATTCCATCTCTTGTCCATGTGTCATTTTTGGGATGTATTCCTGGTCTCTCAAAACCAGAATTATACATAAGAAATGTGTCATAGGCAGCATGTACATGTTGTCTTCTGTAAATAATGAAATAGTTCTACTAAATAGAAAACAGCTAGGCTGTGGCATAACTTCTAAAAAGTAGTTTATTTATTTTTCCTAATTTAGGAAATACATAATAATTATTTGTAGAATTACATAGTTAAACGTTCATTAAACCTCCTTAGTAATGTCACTTTAGAAGAAAATCATACTTTTCTGTGAAAAGAAAATGGAGGGGGAATAGGTTTACAGAAGGAGAATGGTTCTTCCCTGCCCACCCTCTATTTTCTCTTCCCCCCCCCCCCCCCCTTTTTTTCCCCCCCCCCCCCCCCCCCCATGAAGTAGGGAAATAGAAAATAGAAATTTGGTTAATGATGAAGAAATATGATTGTCGTAGGTTTGAAGCTGATGGTCTGTATTTTTGGTATTCAGAAAAGTGAAATTTCCTTAAGCATATTTTCAGGTTGGTATAATTAATGTTCTGCTTTAGACACTGAAATTGGAGTGTGTAGCTTTGTTTACTTTTATGTGAGTATAAATTATTATGACTATGAAATGGTGTTCAGTCATAAAGCATTTTTTATTATACTAAATTGCCAAAGACCTCTACTCAGTCATTTCCTTCTGTGCTGTTGTACAAAAATAACAAAGCACATCAGTTTCTCTGATGTAAAAGTACTTGAATATTACTGTTATTACTATTCCTCCAAAAGTATTTTGTGGAGAATCACTTTTTTTTTTTAAATGTCTACCTATCTTTTAATTCCTTCTATTTGTTTCTTCTTGTTCAAGGTAAAATTTAAATACGCTTGTCTTGTAATAGAACTAGAATGTCAAAGGATGAATGAAATACTGGAAACTCAGTCTTACACCATATGGTTGTCTTATCTGGGTTTTAAATGTTGTTTCTTTCCTTTACAGAATGCTGCCTTTTTATATGGCCTTGGTTTGGTCTACTTCCATTACAATGCCTTTCAATGGTAAGTTGGAGTAAACTAACGTTATCAGTGTTGTGTGTTGTTATATTGGTAGGTAAATATTTCAGCTTCAGTTCAGTGTGAGTGTACGATAGTTTATTTTTTTTAATTACAGATTAGATTTATAGATGATTTAGAGATTTATATTTTTATTATAGATAGGATGTTTGAAGACATACTGTCCTGGGTCACATATCTGACTTACTGTAACATACCTGTGGCAACCACAGCAGTTGCTTGAAAACGAAAGCACTTACAGGAGAAGATTCTTAGCTCCCTATAATACGATTCAGCAAGGGCGATGGAGCAGTGTGACTGGACAGGTTTTTGTGAATTGTTGTTGTCGATAATCTGTAGCCTATGTTTATTTGAAAGCCTGTTTACAAAAAACCTTGACTTTTCTCTTGGAAAAGAAGTGGTAAAGTGGGCTTGTTTTGATACAGCTTGGTATTTGGTAAATTTACACAGCTGTATGATCTAAAAGCTTTGGACATGAGAAGAAGTACACTCAGACTTGAATCAGAACATTTAAAATTGATGTGAAAACTCAGAGTTAGAGCTGTAAATTCTGGCAGGGCTTTGGGGACTGAAAGGTGCTGCTTTGGATATGAGTGGGAGGATTGGTTTTCAGTTGGGGTGCTGGTTTTGCTTTATCAGTGATGAGAGAAGAATGATGAATGGCATAGACTCAGTCACTGGGGTTCTGTTGAAAGGTCCTCAAACTTCCATTGGCATTTATTCTTGAAGAGATATAGTTAGTGTCATTGCAAAAACCTCAGATAGGTGTTTATGTCAGTGCTTTTTTACACTCAGTATGAAACTGTTAATAAAGTAAGTATGACTTTACTACTTGATTGATTACTAAAAAGGTTATCGTCTAACTGGACTAAGCACAACTGCAGTTAAAGTGGCAGGAGGTGACTACTGACTGATGGTTTGGAACAATAAAAGTGGGATTCCTCCCCACCCCGGGTAAATTTGGGTAGAATTTTTTAAAAAAGCAAATCTAATGCAGATAAAACCTTACACCTTTGTGTGCAATATTTTTTTTTTTAAGTTCCTTTGAGTGCTTTTCCCCTCCTTTTACTACGTTTTCTTGGGGGTGAGAGGAGTGAGATGTGAGATGTGGTTGTGGGTGTTCAGGTGTGACAAAATCATAATAAACTTGGAGATTATAGCAAGTCATTTACAGTAGATACCTTCTTCTTTGTACATCTTAATCCTGCACAGGACTGTCTTGCAGATTGCAAGGACAATCCCGCTTCTTTCAGAGTGAAATGCTAGTAAAACTGTCTTGTTTCCTATATCAATATCAAGAGGTACCTAGAACTACTGTCTGCTTCTGGCTACTTTAAAGTAACCTCACAGCCAGCCCAGTCTATTTGTACTGCTGCATCCTGGTACTTCTGTAAGCCAGGTTGTTCTCTATGCTGGAATTTCTCCTGTTAGCGTAAGTTTGACTCCTTGGAACAGGGACATGGGAGTTCAGCACAAAAAGCTTTTTTCCCTCCTTTTTTTCCATGAGCATTGTTTTTCATGTACCTGCAGGAAAACACACAAAACTTACCATCACCTGTGAGAAGGCCATCACAGTGGACCATTTACTTGAGCCGAAGAAGTCTGGGCTGTCTCTTGCTCTTCTCTGGCTGTCATTCTCTTTCATCTTTGTCCAGAAGGTTTTGCTCTTCTCACAGTCATCCTTAAATAGTAAAGCAGCTGTTTAAACTGCCTTTAAAGTACCCAGGTCTACAGTGGAATGTAAACTTTTTTTCAGTAGTCTTATATGCCAACCTTCACTACTGCACACCTTATTCAGCTACCCAAGAAACTATTGTTTTATGGTGGTTGCTGTTGGCCTGTGAGAATGGGAGACTCCTGTGCTGTCAAGGTCTGTTCTTTGCTCCTCTTTGCTTCCTCTATCAGTACTTTTTTTTGTTTGCCAGGGGCAAGCTGTTAGTAACACAGTAAGATTTGTCTTTGAGGGGGATATTTTTTTCTCCCCAGCAGTACCAGATCCTTCAGATGGTTCTCAAGCTGTGTCAGTGGTTGGCAGATCCAAGGAATTGGACTCTTCCACACACAGAGTAGTTGAGTGGGTAATGAGGTGTGTAGGAATGCAAACCACCTAGTGGGGACCTCCCTCACTTGTGTGGGAGCACCCCACCTGTGATGCAGACAGCAGCCACTGGACTGCTTCATCAAAGGCAATGTCTGCTCTGCACACCTCCAGGTATCTCAGTACTTTGTTCCATTGTGGCGGGTGTATACCATTTGATGAAATAGTCCAGTAGCTGTGGTTTGCATGAAAGGCTCTGAGATTCACCCAAGTGTCAGTGGCATTGGACTGGTAATTGGCAGTCTGTGGAGTTCCTGCTTTGCAAACACCTGCAATGGAAAATCAGGAGGGATATAAGTTGAGAGTAGAAAAACAGCTTTCTTACCAGTGACTTGTGATCCTCAAGGTCCACATCTGTATTGGTGCTTCTTTCCCTGTTCTGTCAGAGTCCTTTCAGCTGCTGGTGTTTGTAGTTACCTTCCTAAGGAGGGTAGAATTTGAACACACACTGTATAGATACTGCTTTGTGAAATACTTCTCAGGTTTCAGGTGCCTGGGTCTATATCTCTATTTTTTAGGTATATAAAATGGAAATGTACATGTAGACTACACTTACTAACTGTAATTAACCATTAATGAAGTAGCAATTAACTTTCTCTTTTGTTGTCTTATCTTTCTGTGATTGTATATCAAACCACTTCTTGGATTGATGAAAACACATAATATCTGCTAATGCTGGAAAAAACCCTACTCTCAGCTGCTGTCCTAGAGAAATGTTTAAAGGCTTTGCTGCTCAAAATATTTCACCATTCAACTGCTACAGCCCTATGGACAGAGGAGTTGTAGACTCTAAAAGCATTTCTTAAAATTGCAATGTCCTGATTACTGCTGTATATGTACATTTTGTTTATGCTCAAACCACGATTACGAATTTCAAATAGAAATTTGTCCATCATAGCCTCACATAATTTTCATTAGTGAGGCTATGAAATGATATGAGGCTTAGAATAGGTGGTCAGAAAATTGAAAGAGGTTAAAGAACAAGAAGGTTTCACTCCAGCTGCATCAAGTATTTTTCCTGATACGTTAGAATAATGTTATGTTCTTTTATTTTATAGGTTCGTTCTGATTCTCATGGGATTTTTTGCTAGAAATGTATGAGTGTTAACTTTTGAATAGTTAAATTGATGCCATTTTATTATATTCTTTTGCCTAGTTCAAAGCTGATTTTATTCAAGGTCTATCCAAGTAAAACCTTCCAGTGAAAGTCTTATGAGAGTTCACTAAATGTTTAATATAATCTTCCATTAATTATTATTCAGCTTTCTTCATTTTCATAATGGTAGGCATTGTTGTATAGATGAGTAGGTGGAAAGTATTGATTTTGGAAGTCTTGACTTGGAGGTGATAGATTCGTGTCATTTTTATTTTTCCTGAATTACTGTAGCAGTGCTGTGTAAAATGTAAGCCCAGAGGGTGCTTTTCACCCTCCATAGTGTCTGTTTTCCAGTTCTGTTTTCTCATTTTGTTGAGTGCTAGATAGCCTGTCCTGCCTGTTGGTAGAAATTCTCCCATTCTTGGAGAAAACTTTATTTAATTTAAATAAATTCTAGTAGACTCAACCAAAGTTGTTTCTTGCTATGCAGTTGTCAGTATCTTGAGAGAACAAAGTGAAAGTTGCCTCTTGCTGAATTTAGACAACTGTTGTTTATTTCTGCAGTATGATTGCTCCCAGCCCTTCATTTAATGATTTATCCTTTGGACTAATGTATGTTTAGTCTGCTGAAGGATTAAAATGAAAAGCTCTGTGCATGAAGGCCAGTTAATTAGTGGTGGAGACTAGCAGCCTACTTGAGCAAGGCAGTGTGCCATCATCTCTGAAGGAAGCTGTTAGCCTCTTAAGCCAAGTCCAACTTCATGTGTGACAGATCATCAAGCTATTAGGTTATATCTGCTCTTTCTGTTTTGGTCAAACCACAGAAGAGCTTTGGAGGAAAATACCCAAGTAACTTGGATGCCTTGGATCCTCCAGACCCATATCTTTCTGGATGTAGGCTTGGGCAGAGGACAGAAGTAGGATGTTCCAGGGCAAAGAAAGATCTGTGCAAGGATCAAGTGACTCCTGCTGTATCTGGAAGGCCCAGCTTGGGCAGACAGATGGGCCAGGAAGGGTTGCATTTACCAACATTGGGCCATGCTGTGTCTCATTTCCGTCCCTAACAAAACACTTGCTCCTACTTCCCACTTCTCATGTCTGCTTCCTTCTGTGTTGTACCAACCGGTATCAAGCCCCAGTGCCATCTGCATTGGATGCTATTGAGCACTTACAACTGAAATGGATGTCAGTGCAGATGACAAGCAGATGTTTTGCTATTGATGTAGTAAGGGACTGAGTCTGGAGCTCTGGGCATGGCAGAAAATAAAAGTTTTTACTGTAGTCCATGTTCTTGATGTGTCCTGTAATCTTGAGTGCATTGCTGTTCTGTTTAAATGTTTCCCATAGGCAAAATTAGATCAATATTAGTTCAGCTGTGCTGTAGAATTGCTTGTCTGTCTGTAAGAGTTCGTAAGTAAATGTCTTTTCAGAGTTTGAGTGTTTTATTCTATGAAAATTCTACTGATTATTTAAAATTAGTAGTTACCAAATTAAACATGATCACCCACCACTGGTAGAAATTGTTGAAAACGCTTCTTTTTAGATCACTTCATTTGTGAAATTTTGATTATGTCCTTTTTCACAGAAGTAGTGGAAGTAATTTGTATTTGTTATTGGTGATTGTCATCCTAGAAAAACTACAAATTGCATAACCACTACAGAATTAACACTTGAGTTAGGGAAGATGCAGGCCAGTATTTTGAATGGAGAAGATAAAATATCTGCTTTGGGAAATATTTGGTGTATTCTTACAACATTTTCCCTATAATTTACTGATGTAATTATACTTCATTATAAGTTACCTTTCAGAATTCTCTTTTAGTTCTTATTATGGTACCCAAGGATCCAGAATTTAAGATGTAAGCAGGACACTGACCGAGGAGTTGCCTTGCATTTTGAGTGCATATGGATTCATTCTTAAATGTAAATCCATTACATATTAGAAGTAGAAAGTAAGTTGTAAGTGGCGAGTCTTTAACGAAACTCTCTACCAGCGTGTCCATTCCATTGCCAAATCAATGTTCCCTGACTACACTCCTTTGAATTTTTTTAACCTTTCAAAGAAATAGTGCTTTTAAAGCATCCCAGCATTTCCTCCCGAAACCATCAGTTTAGGAGTGATCAAATACAAGCGAAATGTACAGCTAGAATACTACTATGTAGCTGTTAGCATGGTAACTGAACAGTGCCTAAAAGAGCACAGAGATTTTTGTTTTGACTTGGTTGACCGGATATATTTTTCCAAGCGTCTATGCAAAGGGGTTGAAAAGCATGCCATTACTTCCTGCATAGATTGTGTCCAGAGGAATGACATCTTGTTCTACAAATTTTCTTCGTCCTTGTACATTTTGGGCTTGTTTGGAAAAGTCTGTTGGGCTATAATGTTATCTCAGAGACTCACGGTTGTTGAACCTGACTCCACAAGCAGGTTAGGCAAGGGTGAATGGTGTTACTATGTCATCTGCACAGAGATAAACCTGAGGCAAACTTCACAGGGGCTGTCTGTGACTAGCATGTTCTGTGCTAAACATGACAGTCGTTTCATGTTGTCCACTGATGATAATTTTACTGTTTTTTAAGTGCTGTGCTTCTCTGAAAAACTGGGGTAGGCAACATTCTTGTTCTTTTGAATGAAAGGCAGCATACATTCAAACTGAATTTCAAAACTGTCCTGAGAGGAATGAAATCAATTTGCCTAAACATTGTGTGACTTTAGGCACTGTGGTAATTCCTGTCCAGCACCCCTGTGCTGCTCCACAGTGGGTACAATTCTCCCCATAGGCTTGCCTGTCATCTGCCTGCTCAGCATCAATCTCTAGGGTTGCCTAGGATAGCAGATGGGACTGGGCTCCCTGGCTTAGGTGCTTCAGCTACCCTGAAGTGAGACTGATTCTCATTTCTGTTCCTGTATGAGCATTAGTTTCTTTCTTGTTTCTTCTGTGAAGTTAAATCTATTATCTTTCAGTTGCGTTTCAGCTGCCCTAATTTTATGAGGTTGGCCTGAGAGGTGAAACACTCCATGTTTTTCCTGCTCCAAGATATGGTTGTTACATAGCATTTTTGTTTTATCTGGTACAGTGCCATCATGAGCAGGGGCATGTGTAGAGAGGATTAAAGGTAAGGAAATAGAATCAGCACCATCTTCACCTACCATGGGAATATGAAAAGCAAGTTACAGTGGGAGGAGGTGGCAGGCTTTTGTATCTGCATTTTCCTGGAGGTAATTGAGTGACTGGAAAGTAACGGAGCAACAGAATTTAGTTTGAGTACCTACATGGCGCTAGTGCTAAGAAAGGAAGGACAAAGTGGAAAACAGAGCAGGTTGGTGCAGTGGGAGATGATGTGCGTGATCCCTCCTTCTAGGCCTTCTGTTCTGCTGCTCTCAAGTGTCTGCGCTACTTGGAATCGAAAGCAACCTAGCAGTTGGTTGTGACATGAGTGAACACTGTATTGTTCTAAAGTTGCACTAATTTTGTTACTAATTCCCGAGTCATCCTTTCTGAAATAGCAGATAATGTTACTGTATTTCCTGCAACAAATTAGTTTCTCTAAATTAATAGAAAAGATTAGACTTTCAAATATACCAAGATATCTGGAGTACAAAATTACCCAGTCCTTGAAGAATCAAAAGCCATGCACCAAAAACATTTCATGTAAACCATTATTTTGATACGTTCTTCTGTAACGGTGCTTGCTGATCCAGTTTCTGCTAGTCAACTAAATAACACTGATTATAAAATAATGCTTCAGTAAAAAATAATGTTTTAATCTGTGTTTTTCTTTCAGGGCAATTAAAGCATTTCAGGAGGCGCTTTATGTTGATCCCAGCTTTTGTCGAGCCAAGGAAATTCACTTGCGACTTGGGCTCATGTTCAAAGTGAACACAGACTATGAGTCTAGTTTAAAGGTAGGTTTAAGTCCTTTCAAATTGAGTTAACATTTGTTACAAGTTGAGTTGCGTCTTAGAACTGCAAGGAATGAATAAGCGTGTAGCAGTACCTGCTTAGAAATAGAAGTGCTTCAGTATGAAGTATCTTAGTCTAAAGACAGAGTAAGGGTAGGATTTGAGGTGTTTTACATGCTAGAAATACTCAGAAAAGCCCAGCAAAATTGTAGATGAGCACTGGTACTCCAGAAGATCAAAAATTTGGTATAGGGCTCTCGTTAAAATAGTACATTATGGGGGGAGGCTGAGGATGTACAGAAAATTGGAGGAAAAAGAAGAGAAGAATTAGCAGCTTGGGTTTCTTAATGTTCTTTCCTCCTCCCCACCCCCAGCTGCACTATTGTAAACTGGAAGTTCTTCAAAAATTATTAAAAATAGAAAGCTTTTGTGGAAAATAAGGTTCTCATGTAAATTTTTTATATCGTTTCTACTTTTCTAGCAGTTAATCATTCTTTTATTTCCTAATTTGAGAGTCAGCTTCTAAGGCAACAATTTCTGGCTAATTGATTAGAAGTGGTTTGTGTTAATGCAGTACTTTGTTTCTTCTGTACTCCTTTAATTTTTTTTTTACTGCTTGTGTTCATTTTTGGTCTCCGATTATAATCTGTCATTTTTGTCTCCCTCCATTCAATATGTTTGCCCATTTTTTTCCTCCTTCCATTTCCTACTGTATCCCCACGTTCTTTCCTTCCTGACCTCTAAATTTAGGTATGTGTGTCTTAGAAAAAGGAAGTGTTCTTTACAGAGTTTAACATGCTGGGGAATACAGCTGCAGGGCTGAGAATTTTGTAATTTGTAATTAAGTGTAATTTATAAACACATTTCTGCTTATTAATCTCTCCTAAAATTACTGAAAACATTATGAATGTTTTGTTTCCAAGAATCTTGTGCCTTCCTTTTCTGGGCACGTTGTTTTCCTGGAAGTTGAATTTGTGAGGCTATCAGAATCACATTGCCCAAGATTTGAAAGAATAGTGTGTTACTCAGTTTTTCAGTATTTGTAATAATGGGAAGCACTTCCCTCGGCAGGCTTCCTTTTTTTATCCAGAGTCCAAGCTTTCACCTACAGAGGCAGGTGGAGTTGGAAATTGTGATTGCAGAGGATGCTATTGCATGGGAGTAGGAAAGATTCAATGCAGTGAATGGCAAGAGAGAGTAAGGGGTAGAGGTAGATCACTGTGTTGGGAAAGGGATTCTGTGCAAGTCTGGGTGGGCCTATTTCCTTATACTTTGGCACGGATTTAGTATCGGCTGTTGTGATACATAGGGAATAAAAGAAGTGCTGAAGAAGTACATTTTGGTTTTATTTTTAAAGAAGTCAGGGACAAAAGAGTAAATTTAGAAGGAGGTAGTAAACTTGTAATCAAGTAGTAGAAAAAACTTCTGCATTTTAATTTTTAATAGAAGAAATCGATCAAGACATAATCTTCTCCTGCTGTGCCATGAAATCTGTAATTCCATCACTAAATCAAGTATTTAAATAGATATTATGAGAATTCAATATAAATAATTTACTGTGTTTGATCTTCACAACTTAGTGAAATAAAAAGATCACTGATCACAAGGATTTTGAGTATAGCAAACTTCTAGTTTTCAATACACCAAAGAAGTGTGTTAAAAACAGAAACAAATTAATCTTTTGTAATGCAGAATTATCATGATTCCATTGCTTTTATGTGTATTGTGATTAAGTCATTTAAGAAAACAAATGGCAGCAACAGAAACAGCTTACCCTGGAGCAGAGTGAAGAATTTCAAAAGGATGATGAAATAAACATGATGGCGTGAGGGGGGTACATTAAGGACAGTTTCACATTGTCCTTAAATCAATGTAACTGCAGGTTGTTGCTAAAAGGTTGTCTCATTTTCCACCTTGCAATCCTGATTGCATTGTTTGGCACCCTCTGCTGCACTGAACTGAGTGATGATAGGACAAAGCTTAATGGCTTTAAACTCAAAGAGGGTAGACTTAGACTAGATAGAAGGAAGAAATTTTTCACAGTGAGGGTGGTATTATTGATTACTATAGGAGCAACATACTATTAAGGTTTACCTCACAGTCCTAACCTTTTCACACTCACAGGTTGCCCAGAGAGGTGGTAGATGCCCCATCCCTGGAAACATTAAAGGTCAGGTTGGATGGGGCTCTGAGCAACCTGCGCTCTGGTTGAAGATGTCCCTGCTTATTGCAGGGGGTTGGACTAGATGGCCTTTAAAGGTCCCTTCCAACCCAAACTATTCTGTGATTCTATTTTTTTTTTTTTTTCCATTTGCAGACTGAGGTGGATCAGAAGTCTGAACCAGCTCAACTTGAGATTGCCCAATTGCTAGATCCAATGCAAGGTAGATGGTAGGAGTGCGTGAATGGAAAGGAGGGGGTAGAGCTGTCTTATCCCCTTCTGGTGCAAAACATAACACAAAACTCTACTCTCGAATTATCAACTGAAACACCAAAGGTAGAGTTTCTGGTTTGCTTCCTTTGCTTACAGAGGTTGCAATCCTTCGCAGAGAAGAACAGGAGCAAGAAAGAAAAGACCCAGTGGGGCAATCCACTCAGTCTCGGAACAATTTCAGCTGTTTTCAGTTCAGCTCAGCTGTGGAATTAATGTAGAATCCTGAGACTGACCTACTTTGTTTGACAAGAAAACATTATTGATTGAAACATACCGGTTTATACATCAGAATATATCAATTGTGGAATAGACTTAAGTAGAAGCAGCACAGCAGTAGCTTCTTTAAAAGCCAATCTGACAAATCCCTGAGTTCAGGTTTAAAAAAAACCCTTAAGCCAGAACTCTCTGAGTGACAAGAATGTGAGAGGGAAGTCAGGAAATACTTAGTGAAGAGAACAACGTGAAGTGCTGGTGCAGTGGTTATGCACAAGCATAGAGAGACCAAAATGAGGAAGAGAAAGAGTCATGAAAGGATGCTTTCACAGAATGTCTGTCTCGTTCTCTGAGACTGTGTCGTCTCTTCACAAAAGAAAGATAAAGTAACCCAAAGTAATGAAAAGACTGTTGTGCTTTTTTTGGTTTCGTGGACCTTTTTAAAAGGATCCAGGATTTTATAGGATGGATTTAGGATCCAGCCTGCTAGTGACTGGCCTTGAGCACAGAACCTTTCCATGGGGCTCTGTATAATGTAATTCATAGCCCAGTTTGAGCTTCCTATTTGACACTAAGGTGTAAAGTGGAAGTAAGTTTTCATCTGGTATTCACTTGTGACTGTTCTGGATTTCACAGATTGTGCCAATGTTGCATTAATGTACTTTGAAATATCATAATATTTTTGATGGTATTTAAACATTCATGTTAAGTCTGTAATCACTAAGAATAAACTACTGCCAACAGATGAGTCATTGTCAGTAAGAGTCTTCAGGCAAAGGGGGAAGATGGGAGTCTGAAGGTCATATATTCCATGTTTTTCACAATTTTAGACCATTAACATAAATCATCTATATTTTATGTAAGCAATTTAAGCACTAAATTAATTTTTACTATTTTAAGATGTTGATCAAGATAATTACTAGAGTGCTGTTTAACAAGCATAAAATCAACTCCGTGTTTTTTCAAAATCAATTACTGCTTTTGTGTGTTTTTAACACTGCTGCAGTTAAGATTTGCAAATTGCTATGAGAACCCTTGACTGCTCTGTTACCCCATTGCCATAAACTCTGGCAAGAACATCAGTGCAGTTGAAAATTACTTGGCCTTCAGGCTTGCATTTGGCGGCGGGGAGAAGTGGCCCTTCTAGTTGAAAAGAAAACAGTCCTGTGTAATCTAACAGTTAGGGCAGTGTTACCTTCAGAGGTGATACATAAAAGCTGAATTTGCCCTATTAATCAGAAAAACATGATTAATTCCAAAATAAACTAGCAGTGACTTGGGGGGGGCAGATTTTATTATTGATTACTATAGGAGCAACATACTATTAAGGTTTACCTCACAGTCCTAACCTTTTCACACTTTACTACATGTCCTGCTGCCCCCTTCGTATTTGCCATTTCCTACAAACAACACTAGGAGTACTGTGTTTGATGGTGGTAGCTGTGATGGCACCATGATAATCTGAAAGGAGAATAAAGCAAGATCTTTAGGAATATAATACATCTTTTTATCGGTTTGGTAAATGTAGTTGGAAAAAATGTTCAAGCTTCTGAGTACGTGCCATATTATTTCTGTCATGTCACATGCTGTCCTAGTAATTTTCCTATTTATTGAATTTTTTTTTCAACTTTAGCCTCCTTTTTTCATAGACTTATGTAATCATCCTGTCTTGTGCACGTGTCTCAGTTCTTCTCTTAAGTACTCTGAATCTTAACCAATTTCTAGCAAATACGTCAGAATGACAGAGATTTCAAAGAGAAGTTCCTAGAGCATTCCTGCACCACATGTTGCCCCAGAGCCATTTGAGCTCTGCAAGGTGAGGACCAGGTGATCTGGTTGGTTTGATCTGCAACAGAGGCACCAAATGACTGGTCATGGGTCTGGTCTGTTGGGACGTGAAAAATTCCTGTGAAGGGGACTGTCCCATCCACACAGGAGTTGCTGTGCATCAGGCAGCCCCAATGCCTCTTGTCCAGGTGGAAGCTGAACGCAGAGCTAGGTAGAGCATGAAGGGGGAGCTTGATGTATTGTGTGAGACCACTGACATGCATAAAGGAGAAACTGAGGAAAAAAAGAAAAACTACAGCTTTGGTATTACATAGTTTAATAGTTGGGTTACATTGGAAATGGCAGCTGTGGGAAACCAGTCTTCCAGCTGGTGCTCATTCTGCTTGGTGGTGTTGACGTATCGTAGTGTGCTTTCAGCGGGGAGTTAGGGCTACGATCCTGAAAGCCCTTTGAATGTAAAATTCAGTTTGCTTCCATTGTTTGCTGACAGACTACTTAAGGGAAAAGAAGAAATTTATTTTTTCATATTTGTTAGATTGATAAGACTGAGGGAACGGTGGGTAGGAGA